ACGCATCTGCGCCATATCTTCTAGTCTTGCTCCATTCCTGTAGTGTGAAAGATGTTTATCAGTGCCCGGTGAACATGTAGTTTCAGCGTCGTGTTGGTCTCAATTTGAAATTCACAATTTGCAACACTGCATTTTTCCAGGGAATCAATACCCTTTCTACGTAATAAAATCCGACTAAAACGGCCTAGTTCAAATGGATGTGAGTGGGATGATATAAGAAGATATTCTTTAAAGTAAATGGGAAAATCTACAAAACAATAGTAAAAAGTATTTCTGTACGGATGATGATATTTAGCCATTCTCAAGAGACGCGAACAACAACTGAATTCTGTACAATTATAAATGCTCAGATGGATGTGCGAGACCAGACGAACCATATCCATGATAGGAGGCCAACTAAAAGTAAATTCGATAATGCACAAGCTGACAGATAAAAGATATCAATGGTTCTGCAACAGGAAAGAAAATTTTATGACTTAGGAGAAATGTGGAACATGGTCCCAAAAACTTACTATCAGCGAGGTAAAAAGAACACGTTTAAAAAAAGGCTATGATATGTTAGCGGACGACAAAAGACTAGACCAAGGATCACAGAATATAGACGAAACTGCTGGATACATCAGACCACTTTTAAATAAGCAATACCAGGAAAAAATTAATAATCTTAAATAATCTTACGCCAGGAAAGTACGACAGTTTTCGCTAGAGATATTATCTAAAACGAACGCTGGGCTTTAAGCTGTTTAAAGATTACTTCATTACGCCTGTATTTTGGGTTTCGGTCCAGGAGTGGTGAAAATCAACTCGACTCAAACGTTGTAAATTTTCTTAATTCTTAAAGAGGCTCAAAGTCAGAGCTACTGCTGCTCAGACAATTATTTTGGCAAACAAGGAACAGAACATAAAAACCGAGCATGACAGACTAATCTTAAAAGAAAACACTACTGAGAAAAAAGAAGAATATTGCCCTAAGTCGTAGGTTCACAACAGTCAGAAAGGGTAGACAGATTTTCAATTTTCTAGGCATTTACAAAAAGGATATGCACCGATACTGAGAAAAACTCCCACAGAGGGCGCGTTCAGATAGCATATCTCAGGTAAAAGTATCTCACGCAGTGGACAGACTGCACTATTTAAACAGTTATTGGCCACTGGAAGAATATGCATTGCAAAATGTCCATAATGACCATCCGTATGCTGAGAGATGGCAACTATGCTGACACTGACGGCATTTAGTCAGAATTTAGGAACTCGCTGTTCCTACCTGTCTCCACATACTTTTTCTGTAGGTCTGGAAACCTGGCAAAATTCCAGCTGAATGGAAAGATGTTACAATGCATAAATGTTATGTTAAATGTAAGAACCATGTTCCAACTGCAACCTGTGTCGCTTCGCGCGTTAACCTTCAAATTAGTGCCTGGAAAGGTCCTTGCTCACTGAAAAAGTTGACTTTCTTACTGTGGTAGCCAGGGCGGCCCGATCAGTTCCCCTTCACAGAGGGTAAACCGGCAATGATCTAACTATCCGCTTGATGTGAAATTGCATGAGGAGTTCGATTCAATACCTCAAATCGTCTAGTGGAACTTAAATTACGTTTTCGACTTCTGGATTAAAAAAAAACTTGAACTAGCGGTGAAGAACACCGACGTCGCAAAACAGATATGGACAGGATATATTTACACAGGATCTATTTACAAAATCCTAATATTCTATCGATCCAGTTGAGCTTTTAGCCCCCGTTTTTGGTGACGTCACGTACGCAAAAATTGAATACTACCGAGGACAGACCCTCTTCCGCAGGATCACTAGTCTTGTCTTTCTTGTCAGAGTTGACGACGTAGCAATTGATCACTCGATTTTTGTCGACAACACCGAACTATACATTTTAGAATAAACAGACTTCCTCCATGGCGCGAAGCATTCAAAAACGCGGCAAAAGAGCTAAGGATGGGAACCGCAAAGTGAGGATGTGTGAACCAGGTAGCTGATTAGGAGGAAGCCCCCATTACGGTAGGTGCGAACAAGATTCAAAGTGTATAAAACATTATTTGCCTCGGCAGTCGAAGACGTTTGATGATCGATGCCAACCCAACGTTCAATAGGAATCTGCCTCTCCTAAGCCTCCGCAATCTTGATTCAGTTCCATCTCAATACTCGCACAAGAATCAGAATCTATCGGTCCTGCATGATTCCAGTGCTCGCTGAGCACTGCAATGAAGCAAGGACTTTGTTAAAGAGCATTTACATGCGCTGCCAGAAGTAGAACCTCAACATCAGGCGGTACCAATCAATTCGCAGCATGAGTGTGAAGCAACCTGGTATTGATGCAAAACAAAGATGGCGGACATCCATGGCAGCCAGAAAAACACATCGGTCTAAAAAGTCAAGCGCCACATTGGTCTCTTCTTAAAAAATGTTTGCGTGCTTATGATGACCAGTAAGTGAGTCCGAAATTGCTTCTTTTACAAACAGAATGCTCTTCGCACATATCATGCCGCTCAAGTTTACAAGTAATTTCAAGGGCTGCTCATAACCGCTGAATCTTAATCAAGAAAGTTATCAAGGAGCACTAGCTTAATGAAAACTGCACAGAGGAAGAAATCATGCATGAATATGTGACTTAATTGCAATTGCTGAGCTACTGCTAAGTAGTAGTAACTGGTTTCAAACGCCATTAGTAACAGGTTCGTTGTACAAACGTTTCCGATAGGCAGGAACCACTGTACCCAATACTGGACAAAGCCCGATTTACCAATTCCATTCAGCTGCATTGTGACGAGTCGAAAGTGTGGCATTGGTCTATCACTCGACAGACAACGCGCATTGCATTGTGAAATGCTGTTTTTCAACACAACTTGCTTAACATAATATATCCAGTAGGCAGTAAACAAAGTACCTCCTCTCTCCACCCTCCCCCAACGAAACAACAAAAACATCTATGACATCAAAAGCAGTCATTACTGTTGACAACAACATCGTACCAACGAGGTGGTCCAGCCTTTCGACCATCCGGTACAGCGCTTGGTCGTCAGGCCCGTAACTGTGTCCAGTTTTGTCCGGCTCCTCAATGTATAAAAGGCCAAGGTTGATTGGCTTCCGAGGATGTTTGAACCAAGAGATGAGGGTATTCACTCGATCCTCCCAGACCATGTCAGGGTCGTAAGGTAGATGATACGTCGGATAATGACCTCAACGTAAAATCTGGCATGTATTAACCAAGCGAAGAAAATCAAAGACCTACCTTTTAGCGGCAGCTCGCAGCCGACCCACATCGAGCAGCCACTGCCTCTGTAAGGTTCAGGACTCTTCAGGTTCGTCACCCAGATTGGCTCAGCTTCGAAGAATGCGGGATCAGTCACGTTGCCATCGTTGAAGTAATCGAACGTTTTGTTGAGCAACGGGTCATAGAAGTTGTTGGCGATGATGCCGTGCGACTCTTCGTGCAGGCCGGTCACAATGCCATAGTGGTTGGGCGCTGTGATCGTGATGTAGCTGTTCTTCAGGCCGGTCGGAGAGAACACGCCGTTCTTGATTAGCCATCGCAAGTTGGGGGTGTTATGAACGCGTTCCAGGTAATCCCATCGAAAGCCGTCGAACGATACCAAAAGCAAAAGTGGTTTCTCGTCGCAACGGTACTTCCGGTTGCTCTCAGATTTTATGCAGTTCTTCTGATGTCTGTGGTCATCGATGCAATGTTCTTCCGGTAGAGTACTCCAAAGCAAACCGATCACTAACACCACCGCAATGCAAACGATCACGGCGTTTCGATCGTTCGCCGAATACTTCATGCTTCTCGATCAGTCAATACTGAAAACGAACATGAAAAGAAAACATAAATGATTATGTATAATTATATAATTTGTTTTTCAGTCCTGCACAGACAATATTCAGTTTCTGCCTCAGCCAAAATCAAACCCTTTACACTGCCTTTGCTCATTATTCATTACTTTCTGGCTGAAAACGCCGATCGATTGTTCAGAAAGCTTCGAAAGATATATATACATATATATGACAAATGTCGGTCTAATGTGACAAAACGTCGGTGTGATAAACAGTAAATTTCTGAAGCAAAAACAGCTTCACTCGTGTGTACGTCAACATGATGCTGCTGTAGAATGATAATAGTACATTAAGGAGCGAACCGTATTGATCTCTATAACAGGTGTGAAAACAGACCTTACGAAGTGTACCAAATCAGTCAGTCAGTTTTGATCACCGCTTCTCCTTTTAGGTCATCATAGAGGCAGCAGCATCAGAGAGTGGATCCAGCATTTGCGATCTGGGCTTCGGCAGAAAACAAGCCAAGTTTGAAACAAAGTCGTTGTAGTCACTAGACCCAAGATATTCTTGACTGTCTCCGGGGTCTTCAGCTAGTTGGTTTGGCAAGTGGCAGATGTTTCGACTTCATTTCACGAAAGAGTAGCAGTACGTACATAAACCATCGCAGCGGTGGCTTCTAAATCTGGAGATGTACCAAATAACAACCACAATTAACTGATCGTTCTTCTCGATTAATGAAGCTCGTTGCTGTCTCATCTCGATATTCACGCTTGTCTGCCCCGTGCGATTTTTCAAAACAAACTTCTATATCTTGTTTAGCTCATCGTCCCTCCAAACCGAGGTCTTCAAACTGGGCGTTTGCAGTCTAGAGTTCCCAAACATCACTCCCGAATTCCATAGGTCATGCGGCAGTCGTCTGATGTAACTTGCCCATTCCCACTTTTTCCTTGTGAAACCAAAACTAAGTTTTCCATAAGTCTTCTTATTTAATTATTTTCTGGTTTCGTATCATTGCTGAAAGTTTCTGACATCCTACTTTGCCCAGCGCGTTGCTGCCCCCCAAGAGTTCTTTTTTCTTAATAGCCCGGTATCGTAACTATATAAAGCAGTGGGAAAAACGGGGTGGTTTGGGTGGTAGAACCATACAATGTGGTTCTAACCGCAATTCTATTTTCAAAAATTTCAGCGTTTCTTCTGTACGTACTCCACACCACAACATGACTTCTAACGAACGGCGAACTAACAAAGTGGCTCGAAACGATTAACTGACCCAAGCAGACTTACTTGGTACTCCTATATAGTGATCATGAAATTATTCATGGATACTGTAGCTGGTAGGGAGAATTTATTTCTAGTTACTTTCTACTTCGCACTGTTTATCTGAAGCCCAACTTGTTTGCTCATTATCTTTACCTCGCATGCAGAGTTTCAACTTCTTTTGCCTTTGTCCCAAACAGTAGCATGTCAGCAGCAAATCGAAGATTAATGAGTAGTTAGACATTAATTGAAAATCTTCCATCCCACATCTTTTGGCGGAATACCATCTCAATACATACGTTCACAACTTGGGCGATATGAAACCTCATTACAAAGAGCCCCATTACAAACTATGATTTCAGCTGTATTTTCAAAGAGCAGAACCCTCGTTCTGCCTCAGCAGCTATATAGTTCTTGTAGAACTCGGAGCTTGCGCTTCCAACGCACAGAAGGTACTAAACGAAAGGGCAGGAAATGCAGCGCAGCGTATCACTTCATCCTTGATTGACGGTGCATCGTTCTCAGCTACATTACATTCAGAGCTTGCGAAATTCTACTTTTAACATGCGAGAAATCCATTAATTCTGCGATCACGTTTATTGCTCCAGTTGGCACTAAATACCTCATTTTCCACGGTTCGCGGGACCAAAGCGACATACAGAAGAAACATACAACATACCAATTACAAAAAAATAACGTACAAATACAAGTTGGCTTTAATTTCCTCGTCAGAATAGCATTACGAGTTCTAAGCAATATTTACACGAGTCCAATCAGGTATCCCTGTCGCAAGTAATATCGAATAATTTCAAGACTATAATTAATCAGAACTTAATTTGTGCCTGTCATTTTTATCTGTGCTGAAAAATAAGGACGTTCAATATTAGTGTTTAAACAATCAACTTTTCGACGCCAAAAATAAACAGGAATAAAACGGACAATTATGAGACGCGAAAATCATGACGAAAACTAGAGAAGATATGGTAATAGTACGTGTCAATAACTACGTGTTAGACAGTATACACACAAAATACTGAATGGGAAAGAAACGAAAAATCAGGTATCAAAAGAAAACACAACTCAGCGAAAGAAGTAACTGCTTCTAATTGAAATATATTTTATTACATGTCATCAAACTCATACGACAAACATCGCACTCATCACATAGCAGTACAAAAACAAAAGTAGCGAAGAACAGAGTAAGCTGAAAAAGTAACAAAGTAACAAAGGAACGATCGATCAACGTAAGGCTGAATTTCATCCTTCATTATCCAAGTGGCTAGCTCACAATCATTTGGAATAAACAATGACAAAAGAAGGTAAACAGGACACCGATGCAACGATGGAGATTCATATAAATAAGAAGTTATTTTCCATTCAAAATTAAATATGAAAAAAAACGATGTTAATTATTTGCCGTAAACTTTACTTGATTACTAAAGCTTGCAGCTATCGTATCAGCCTTATTTTTAAGCATCATCATAAAAACCCTGCCTCTTATCCAGATAATGCATCTGCACAAAAACAACCAAACACTGATAAAAGCTTACCGAAAAAATAGTACAAAAGAGTAAGAGAAACATTCAAAAAAACATTCATAACACTTACGTGAAAGCCTCACGTCTTTAAACCATTTTCTTCATTGAAACCAAATACATGGTAATCATATTCAAATGCAAAAACCCAAACCTAAATCTAATACTATGGTACCGAAATCTGCACAGCCCATGTAATAGTGGGTAAATACAAGTTGATTTCTGTAATATGCAACACTAGATTTGCAGGAATTAATTGTTGGGCATATTTAAATAGGCAACCTCATTACTGTGTAACGTAAATAGTCTGTATTATCCCGTGGAGCACTAGAAGCATCAGCGGCGCTAATGAATCAGCATTACGTTAAATTAATATTCGAGATATTATCTGTTAAATTAATGCGATGATATACTGAAGTCACAATTATCATCCAATTTTTACAGGTACATTTCTGTCACTTCATTCTAGGAAGGAAAATTTCATTCTAGGAATAACTACTTAATACTGAATCTTTTAGGGTTGTGACATTTCAGAAATTTTTTTAGGTAACAACTGTCGCATTAATTTTTTCATATTCCTACTGTCTAACAGATAGGTCAATCGTTTCGCATGTTTTTGGTAGTCCATACCAAGAAATCTTATCAAATTCCACGAGATATGCAAAGCCGCGCGCTGATCTATAGACTGGGAATAAAGTTTTTGCTGTGCCTCATTCGATTAATTCGGTCGCAGTCGGTTATTTTTTGGGTTGCAGAAATTTTCTAGAAATTCCTATGATTTTTCTGATGCTTGGCATAGATCGATATTGAATAGTGACCGTCTGCAATTCACGCTCGCCTGATTGAAACCGGCATTATGATTCTCAGCTGTTTGCACGATAGACTTTTGTCTTTTGGTGAAGCTATCAGCAAAGTTGCATTCAAGATTCTTTGTCGGTCACTATCGAAAAAAACCCATCAATGCGTGAAACAACCACGCACGGAATCATCGTGCTTGGTGCACGCAACTTAACTACTGTGAAAGACGCTCGTAACGGGAGCTGGTAAATCATCGTAATGTGCGGCGCCATCATCCTGTAATGAATATATTAAATATATCTGTCAGATATCCAGTCATATTTTTGAACTAGGATACCACTAAAAGCGAACAAAGTAACAATTGGGTTAAGAACAAAAAGAAACCATCAACTCTGTACGGGACAGCATTAAAATGGATCTTACTGATATGCTATTCGGTGCTTAGCGCTATATTGTACAAGAGTGAATGGATATAACGCATATGATTCAGAGTACCAGTTCGTTCAAAATTTTGTGACAACGCCTTTGCATTGTTCTACAGTGGTAGGCTCAGGCTAGCAAGGTCAAGTTTCTTCGTCCCTGTGTCTATGGTTTGCATCGCCGAGTCAAAATTGCCACGTTTATAGCCGCTGTGAAGAGGAACCGGTAAAGGACAGCGCATCTACATGGTGTAAAAAGCGAGGTATGTCATTCTTACCGACGAAACCAACTAGCAATTTGCTAGAAACCTATACCATTAGAGTTATTTGTGCATATTTCTAACATTTATTGGTCCAAAATCATAGCATCAGTCAGTCGTTATCATGATATGACTAGTTTTATCTGAGTTCAAGAGAGAGCCTGATTTTTCGGCTCCAACGACACGAGAAATCCGAAAAGCGTCGTACACAGAATAGAGAACAATGCAGAGGTGGTCTTTTGACTCTGACTGAGGGTCATCGTTCACCATGTTGCAGAACTCGCTGTAGAACCCTGAGTAAAGTGGAAGTTGGTAAAAAATGATGTGCTGGATGCCGCGGATCAGGCACCTGTTGAAGAAATGGAAGCGTTCGGTAAGCAACAAAATTGGCTTTTTTCCATGGAAAAAGAGAGACCTGGCACGAGACACCTTTGTTTCGGATGTATACTCGCATATCTGGACGAAACTGCAATCCTCGCGCTTCAGGTGGTTGCGCACGCGGATAAAATCGAAGTACGACGGCAGAAATATTAGCACATGACGCAGACCGGCGGAGGATATTTTCGACAAAACATTATCGACGAAAAACTGTAACCGAGCTTCACTTTCGACAAAACGATTGGCGCAGGCAAAACGCAGAAACGTCTGAGGAAAATGATTCACTACCTCCACTACTGTGCCTAGCACTGTTCGCTGAGGGACAACCACCAAACCCGCGAAATTGCTACAGAATTTTGAAAACACGCCTCGTATCTCGGGAGCATCAATCCGTGAAAAGACGATTGTTTG